TTTATTGTTTGTAACATTTCCAAAATTGTGTAGAAATTTTAGAAACAAGAAAATTAAAGCAAAAAACGATTTCCTTTTTAGTTTTTTATTTTATAAAATTATGCATGTTTACTCACAATTTGTTTGGCATGTTTTTACGTCTGTTAATAACACATTTGAATTCTAAGTCAAAATTCAGAAATAAAAACAAGTTTTTGAAAACTATTTTTTTTATTTTTTTATTTTGGTTTAGATTTAAAAAAAAAAGTTTCTAAAAAAAAAAGTAGATAGCAAAACAAATGAGTATATATGTGAATGTAGTATTTATAACCTTGACTTTTGAAAATAGAAAACAAAAAACAAAATTGTTATTTATCAATACCCAAATTTCTTATTTATTGTTTCTATTTATAGTTTTCAAAAACATAAATAAAAATCTTATTTTATCATTATTGACTTTAAAATACATAATAAATATAACATAAAAAATTTGGATATATAGTTAAAAAAATTAAATTTTCATTTAAATTTAGATAATTTTTCTTTATTAAAAAAACTTTAAACAATAAACTAACTAAACAAATTAATTAAAAATTTAAATTTTAAAGTTTGAAGACTATGGTGGTCAGGGTGATTTGACAAAAAAATATTTAAGAATAATTGATTTTCCAAAATCACAATCAAAATGATACCTTACAAGTAACAAGTAAATTTTAAGTGATTTATATAATTTTAAAATCAATTTTTTAATTTACTGATCAATATAAATGAAAGTGATTTTGATAAAATGAGATTTTGTCATGCCAAAATCACTCTCAAATACATTCTAAATGGATAACCCTAAAAAATTTTAGATAAAAAGTTATAATTAACTAAATAATATAATATTGTATTATTGAACTTTTCGATTTGAAAATTTTTGTCCGGTAATTAGAGATCTCCAAGATGAACATTGGGATGGGGCCGAGGCAGAAAAATACAGCCCAAGAACATATAAATCCGGCCCGTTTGTGGGCGGGTCTATAAACGCTGAGAATTAGGTTTGTGAGGAGAGTTATACGAAGTTTCACGGCCGTTGAAATTCTGTAGCAGAAGGAGGAGCAGACGCCGCTGAAGATGGTGAAAGGAAGGGAAGGAGAGAGAGTCAGGTCTGTAATATAAGCGCCTTTGGAAGATCAAATTTTCAAGTTCTTCATCTAATTTGTTTTTGTTGTTCTTTCACTTCTCTTACATGTTGGAATTAGACTCTACATCCGAGGAACAATTCTCGGCTACAAGAGGTAATTAATCACTGTCTATCAACTCCCTCCTTCACATTTTCTTGCCCCATGTAAAACCGACGAAGTAACATTTGATTTTTTATGTTTCTGGACTGCGTTATATTGTTTTCTTGGTTGTTGTCATTTGTCCGGAATCTAAAGATGATTGATGTGGTGGCTAGGTCTAAATCCAACCAGTATCCGAACACTTCATTACTCCAGATCGAGGGTGTTAATTCCAAGGATGAGGTTTCCTGGTACCAAGGAAAGCGATTGGCTTATATCTACAAGGCTAAAGTGAAGAAGAATGGGACACATTAT